GTGTTTTTATTTATTACCATTGAAGGCATCCTTTATCAAAACTGTTAGTTTCATGGTTGAATTATTTTGTAGCTTGTAGTATATTCAGCAATTTTGCAGTTGTTCTTTAGAAATGATCTTCTAAAAAGCAGAGAAGGCAAAAAAATTTCTCAGTTTTAAAACCTTTTCAATTTAAAGTTTAAAAATGTCTCCAGATTATAGTTTCTTGACGTTTTCTCCCACCAAAAAGGAAATAGTTTAAGAAAAGCCTGAACAGCTAAAATGTGAAAGTATCATGGTAGTTGAAATTAAACATTAAATAAAAAGGGTTTTGCCTTACAGGTTTTTTATATATATATATATATATATATTCCCTCTGAAAAATCTTGTTTCGAAGATGGGTATTTGCCCTTTCACACAGTATGCTGATGTACATAGGGCAGTGGGGAGACTGACAAGTACTCTTCGGAAGATAATGTACCAAGACAGGGAATGTCCTTAGGAGTACTACTGTGAAAACTGTTTTGGAGGTATTTCTATGTATTTGTTTTGCATCAGAAATCTAAACTCTTAAGCTTTAGAATACAGCCTTTTATGTGGTTTCTCTTACTTTTATTAAGAGATACAGCTCCCTGAAAAGGGGGAAGATGGACCCTATCTAGTTGAGTCTAAAACATCTGTTGTCGTGCATAGGCACTGCTGATGGTCAGTTATGGAGATGCAGTACCTGGTAGGTTCAGGGTTTAATAACTAAGTTAAGTCTATTGTTACTGGAGCAGACTGAAAAGAAAATGTGTGGTATAGATTTTCAAGCTGAATAGTAATTTTTATCCTTTGACTGAATCACTCAAGTTTGCTATAGCGGAAGATAAGCTCAGTTTGCTGCAGCAGGAGCAAATGATCCTTCCTTCTGATTAGGGACCTGTAGCTTCTAGTCAGAGTTTTGTTCATGTGAGAACTGAGCAGAAAATGTAAAGTGTTAGAAAAGAGCATCAAAATGGGATGTATGCTCAGCAGTGGTTTCCTTTTCACTAAAGCTTTTTTGTTGAAGAGCAACTCAGGACTAGCCACTGAGGATTAAAAAGCACCTGAGGATTAAAAAAGTTAACCTTCGTAAATAAATCCTAGTCTAAAAATTATATGAAGCTATATATTTTCCTAGAAAGTATATTCTTATTGCAAAAGATATACTAGAGACTTGTTTCTTTATATTCTTGGTGAAAAAGCATTATCCGTGAAGATAAATACCTTCTTCGGGGGACTATAGATCATGGTTTTTACCTTAACGTATTCCAGTGCCATACCATTTTTCATGTTTTGAAAGAAAAGTGTCTTAGAAAAGGAACACCAGCCATAAATCCTGAGAACCTTTCTTCTGGATCCTTTATTTATTAGTTGAATGTGCAGCAAAGTGCAGTAGTGTGTAGGTATAGCCATATTAATGTTGTTCATAGATACACATCTTTGGCAGGACTGACTTTGCAGATACTCCGTACTATGTATGTTTTGGCTTCTTATTTACTCTGTGGAAGGGAATGCTTGTTTTAGTCCAACCCTGCCCAGTGAGTTTGTAACCAGGAGTATCAGAGTCTTAAGAGTAACAGTCGGTACCTGTAGACCAAGAAGTGTCCTTTTTGACAGAGGTATGGCAGTAAATTGCAGTAAAACACTGCAGATTTGAAGTCTTGTATGAAAGGTGGCAGGCAGACTTAAAATCGTCTCCAAACACTTTCGCATTATGTGGCCATGTTTTTACTAGGCCATAACTTTTAAACTTTCAAAGCCCAGTTGTGATAACTGAATTGATACTTTAGTTACCTCGCTATTATCAAGAAGGAATGTTCTGGGGAACAAAAATGTTGCTTTGGGTAAGTTAAACTAAGGCCTATTTAAATGAGCCAGAATGGCAGTTCTTTGTTTAAGAGCAAGTATTTGCAAGGTGGACATGAGGTGACATCTGCCTTTTGTTACTATTTCTGATAATCCATGCAAATTTATCATTTATACATGCTGCATTGGCTCTTCATTAGAGACTAGCATCAACACTCCAGATACTTCATCCGTGCTGACCTCATTTCAGGCTAGGACCAGAGAAACAGCATGACTTTCTCTGCAAATGGTCACAGACTTCCCATGAAATATGTAGTGAAGGCAGTGAAGCTGAGTTTTCAGTGTTTATCATACTCTTAACTGCTGAGGCAGTGTGGTAAAAGAAGAAAGCTAGTAAATTAGGAGCTGATGGATGAGGAAGCAAATAAATTAGTCTGGATAGGAGTATAAAAGCAGATGTGAACTGGGACAGTGGCAGTAGAAAGAGGGATAAATTAGAAAGAGAGGAGAGAAAAATAGCAATAAATATGAGTCAAAAGGAGAAGAGTGAGGTGAGAGGTGGAAAGAAGAAGGAAGGCTGGCTGTGATGAGCTCCCTGCCCATCCCTTTTCCTCTTTGAGAACCTGGAAATGAATCTAGATCTCTTGTACCCCAGGCATACCGATATCCCATGCTTGTCTGGTTCAGTGTGATGGAAAATTTCTCTCTTCAAGTTTTATTTTTTAATTTTTCTTTTAAATAATGGCATATCAAATATTTGTTGAGTCAACTACTGCCTCAGCTAGGAGATAATATGTTAAGACTGCCTGGGTAAGTATTAATTTGAGTCAAGCAAGTGTGTTGTGATACAGGTGCTGCAGTTTTACACAGGAACCCTTCCGCTTATGATGCACGTAGTAGGATAGCACAGAGATAATACGAAATATGGCCTATCTGGGAGATGTTGCCTGTAAAGCTCCTGTATGTTTTACTGCAAGAAAATTAATAGTGACTGGAGCAGATGACTACAGGAAGGGAATGGATTGTTCCCAGGTTAGGGCGATAGAAAGCCTATGTGAAACAGCTCTGGTTTGTTGCTGCACCTCTTCCAGACTCTTCACAGCAACCTTGTTGCCTGGCTGAAAAATATAAAACTTGACTTTCAGAAGCATTGAGTATGCATTTCTAATTTCAAAGCTTGGTCATACGTATGTTGAACACTCTTTAATTGTGTTGGGATTTTTAGCAAGCAAAATTAGGATTTCCCATCTGAAGTCATATGTTTGGGAACAAAACTGTGTGCAAGGATGTCTTGGCTGGTAGTTCTTGTCTTCTGGGCTGTAACATCTTGATCCCATGTTCTACATGAGTGTTGTCTCCTGTCATTACTGAAGTCGCCATTCTGGAATGGGGCAAGGTGTTAAAAGCTATCCTTAAATTTTAAATATACAAAACTAGATCTCTTTGCATATTTCTCTAGTGGGGCAACTTAAAATTTTTTATATCTTAAAAAGGGATGGGCAGGTTCCAAGGTTTAACTTGCATAATTTGAAAAGGTGCATTGTTCCAGGGCATGTGTTTATTGAGGAAGAGTGCAATAGCTGCTATCATGTGTTTATGTACCATTTGCTTATGTAGATACTTAAATAGCATGCCTGGCTCAGGTTCATTTGACTTAAATACAAAATGAAAATCTTTTCTAAAACTGCTAGCAGAAGGCAACAATTTACCAATATATGAATGCACAAGCCACAGCAAAAGAGAGAAGATATTCCCTGCAGTGCTGAGTGTTGTAATTGCATTTAGAATAATACCAAAGGAGAGAATAAATCCTTTTCAAACTGAGAAATACAAACTTTTTCTCTTTTTTTTTTTTAAGTATATAGTGAGGTGGAATTTCAGCACTGATGGAGTCAGGATAGTGGCTGATGGAAATCAGTTATAACATCTTTTACATAGGAAATGGAAATTTCTTTCTTAAAAATAAGATGATTTGAAGGCAAATTTCTCATGCAAATCCTGTCATGAGCAGAGAAATTATTGAAGAATGAGACATATTGTGGAAGAGATGGTTTTGATAGATTTTGCAAAAATAGAAAAATAATTTTAATGCTACCTTATGATCACCATGTTTGCCTGTGATAGCTTTATATAATCATGATAAAGATAGAGTACTGATAATGGGACTTTGAATTCAAATTCCCAATACAGTCCCCAAGGAAAAAAAGAAACTGATGGTGCTTGGCCTGTGGCCAGATAAACCCCCTAATGTTTAGTCAGGAAAGTTGTCAGCAGAGTTAAGTTCAGCCTTCTTGCTGGCCAAAGATGCAGGTTAAAAAGATGCAGTAGAGAGAGAGGAACATGTGATAGAGACTTCTCTTATTTCTGTGACACCCATGTGGCCTCTATCGCTGGCAGTAGCTTGTCATCTTCTGGTCTTCTTACATGAGGCAGCAAGCAGCTTTGTTTCCGTCGTGCAGTCAGAAATGCAGACACAGGGAGACACTGTCTCTACACTGAGACGATACTGTGAGCTAACCAAGAACATGAATTTACAGCATACTAACTATTCCACACCAGTTCCCTATGCAGTTTTTTGGGTACAAGTAGTATTCTGTCCTCGCTTTGTGTCAAGTAGGTATGAGGTAGGTCATTCCACGTTCAAAATATCCATGCCAGAGTATAATGCCAAGAAGCTAGTGGTGGAGAAAATTCATATGCAGAGTTACTTAACAGTAACTTTTCCTTGAAAACAAGCTGGTTTTAAATTTCATTTTTAGAAGATTAACTAAGCCCCTTTTATAGAAGAACGTTTCTGATCACTATTATAAGCCATAATAGTGGCTTATAATTAAGAATGGCATTGCCTTGGAGGACGCGATTAGGTACAGCCTGGGAATGACTTCAGTTCCTGTGCTTTGGCATATAGGAATCAGACTGTAGAAATATCGGAGCACTGCCTTCATGTGCCTTTATAGATTTCTCAATTGATGAACATTAACTAATTCATTGCTTTAAAAAAAAAAGTCCAAAAATGCCAACATGGCAAATGGTAAAGTGGCTGACAAAATTAATTGTCAGCAAGAAGATATTTTTGATACAGTGTTCAACATCTAAACATGGTAAAACTGCTTTTTCATAAATTTCTGCAATGTAATTTCATAACTGCTTTTTAGAAAAGTTAATTCCATATCTATGTTTTTAATTTGTAGGTACGTTGAAACCTTGAAGGAACACAAACCAAAAATTGTCTGGGATGAACAAATTGCTGAACACTACTTTGAATACAAAAGGTGAGTTATGTTTATTAACTTACCATTCTGCAAATATTTTTGGGCATGGCCCAGTACACAATGAATTACCAGTTAACCATAGTATGCAACTGAATTCAGCAAATGGAAATTCTGCTGTTTGTGATCTGTATGTCAACACTGAACTGCACCATAAAAGAGTGCTTCAGGCGAAAGAAGTAAGTCAGAGAAGGATTAATGAAATAACATAAGCTCAAACAATCTTTAGAAGATAAGTCTGATGAGTCATATCTTTAGAAGTTATTCATCAAAGTTATCTGCTGAGTGTCAGTTAATCGGAGGCTCTGAGATTAGTACTGTGAGCTGTTTGGTGATTACCAATAACTCAGCCAAAAACAGTTCTGAGAAAAATCTGTGGTACAAGAGCCTGGTTTTACAAGTCCTAGTGATAAGATTGGTCAGGCAACAGACTTCCACTAAATGCAGTGGACTGTAGAGAAATGTAATGATAATAATATCAAGTGACTTCCAGATAAAGTTTTAAAAAGGACTGAGAGCATGAAGGGAAAGGGTTATAACTTTCTTTGTCCTCCCTTTTTCATCATGAAATGACACAGGGATTCCTGATGCTAGGAAAATCCATTTAAAACAGCAACATCTTATTAAGCCTCAGTGATAATTTGCTATTTTTGTATGCAAATATACAAAAATATGGTAAAATTCTATGAACAAAATCCTACTACTTCTACAAAACTGTCTTGTATATTACTCAATACATTGGTAACGTGAAGACACACCACTGAAAACAAGAGTAAAACACATTTTAGGGTGCTTTAAGAAAAAAAAAATCAGAACTACTTTGTTATTTCCAAAATACCTTCTCGGTTTAAATATTTTCAAATGTAAAAAAAAAAAAAAAAAAAAAAAAAAAAAAAAAAAAAAAAACCAAACTAAAAATGTCCTACTTTTATATTTTTAGTTTAATTTTCAAGGTTTCTCTCAGCCTGTAATTTTCTCCTGACTTCTCAGCAACATGTATTTCTTATCAGAAAAAAAAACATGTTTACCTGTTGGTCAGCAGTGTTTTAATTTATTTTCTGTGTTTGTATGAAAGGACTGGGATCTGTGTTTCTTCGTATTTAATTCTTTGGTATCATGTTGCAAAATTACTTTGTGCCAAACAACTACAAGGTTTTTCATGTTAACTAAGGAGGAATAAATCAGAAGCTTTGTTTTACTGATCTTTAATGCACAATCCAATTGGAGACACAATGACCGCTGGATGAAAACTTGCTCTCAGAAGAGTAAATCTGAGGGCTCTGTTTGAATGGCGTGCTTCTGGGATTCATTTCTGAAACACATTTCCTAAACATCTCCTTGCAAACTGAACTTGTGGGAAAGGGATAGTTTGTCAGTAGTACTACATCATTTGCCTTTGAAAGCCAGTCTTTGGAGATTCTTGTTTATGGGCTTCCTGGAGGAATTTTTGATGCATAAAGCACACTGGATCTGAAAATCACTCTAAACTTCACCTGCTGCACTGTGCTTGGCAGGCAGCAGCGTGGCTCAGTGTATCTTGCAGTGGTTCAGCCGGCTCCAGGGGAGGGTTATTTAAGGGCACTTTTTTTCAATTACCATTTTGGTTTGCAAAGGTTCAGTTACATTAGATGGGCATGGCAGCCAGGCCTGAGATATGCTTCACTGGTAAAGCATCTCACCTGGAAATCTTGCATATCTGCAGTTGCTAAGAAATCAAATCCTGAATCTTTTAAGCAAAGCACAGCTAATGATTTTCATGTAGCAGGCAGAGACTAATTATTACAAAAAGTTACAGAAATCTGTTGTCTCTGAGTGCTTGTCCCAGTGCACTTTACCGGTAAGTATGCGTTTACGTAAGTTGGGAGATTTTAGGAGCAATTCCTACTTGGTCTGTCCATGCACTCTGCATTTCCTCCTAGCCTAACTGGTAAAGTGGTGCTGTGAGACCACTTTTAACTCATCCTTCCAGGGATTTAAAATGCAGCCTTGGTATCTGTGCCCAGTGTAGCTTGCCCTGTCTGCATATTTTATACTGCTAGCATATAATTTAACCTGAAAGATAGTAATTTGGGGAATTGGGGAAAATCTTTCACATTTTGCATCTGACAACCAAATATCTTCATCTTTTTCAGATGCGCATTTAGTAGGCGCAACTGTCTTTTACTATCTGACAGTTTTGTAATCCAGTTACAACAAGATATCTCAGTGTGTTTACTTAGATCTAGTATCAAACCACCTCTCTTGTGAGATCTCTTGTTGGATCCTCTATTTTCGCTGTCAGCCTTTTCACCTCATTTTAAGAGTTGTCCTCCTTAAAGGCCACTAGTATAGGGTAAATAAGTATCTTGTCTGACTCTGCCTGTATTGTATTTCATTGTAACCAGTTCTTGGACAAAGTGTTATGCCCGAAGAAGTTTGGAACTTTCATCTTAATCATGATAGTTACCTGATTTCTTCCCAAACTTTGTGTTAGTTATCAGGAAACTGTGCTCTGTTCTTTAGATGTTTTGAAAGGCCTTATCCTGAAGCCTTTTAAGGAATCCTTTAGATAACTAGGGATTTTTGTTTTTGTAGTTGTGGCATGATGCAATGGCTATGCAAAGACTCCTCTAGCAGGTCTTTGACTCTCTGCAGTCGTGTTTTGAACTTTCTAACTTTCCAGCTGCTAGCATTGTCAAAGCCCATTTAAGTAGGATGATTTTGTCAGGAGGATCTTTCTGACAAGTATTCCTGTAACTGATACCTGCAGGACAGTGACACAGTTGCATACTTGACTTTTAGATATGTTGTGTAATTTCTCTTAACAGCTTTTCTTTCCCCACCACTTTATATTTATGTGCTGTGATATGTTTGTATCTACAGTAGAAAAAGGGCAGCAGTAGAAGTTCTTATCTGCAATAGGAAAGGAAGAGAAGTAGACAAGATTTTGGCCCTACCCTGCCCTCAGTAGATAGAGTAGCCAGAGTGCAAGTATGGAATGAATGGAAGTTGATGGCAAAAGTGTCCGATTTCAGAGACGGAGTGCCTCATCTTCCAGAGTGGAATGAACACTGGATAAGAAATCTCAAAGATACAAGCTACTAAATGACAAGTAGTCTCTGTCTTTGATATGGGCGTATTAATGCTCATGTGCTGAACATACTAGCATATCTTATTTTTAATAGCAATAACTTCTTCAAAATAAAATCAGTAGTTTTCTTCAGCGCTGTCTTTGTTTCCTTTTAGTGGGAAGGAATAAAACTGGTTTTGAATTCTAACCTCAGCTAAAAACCCTATGGGAATCTATCAAAGCTATTGTGACTATTTGGTTTTCCTGTTTTGCAGAAATAAAGGAGGAAAACATGCCGTCTTCTACCCAACACTGAAGGTAGGTGCCACTTTTTCACGTCAGAGGGCTGTAAGAGGAAAGAGATGTTTACTTGACTAGTTGCATTATTGAGACACTTCAGAAAATGTTGAACTGGGTTTAGGCTTTTGTGAAAGAAGTTTACCCTCATGTAATTGTTATGATTCAAAGCTTCAGCTGCCTGTACGAGAATATTGTTTTTTCTATCTCATGCATAATGGGGTTTTGGGATCTTTGAAGATTAGCCATGTCTAGAGGTAAGACACACCAGGGCAAACCAGTGCTCTGAGAGGATCTGTTCGAGTGCACAGTTCATGTGCTAACAGACATGCTGATTGTTAGACAAGAGACGGAAGAAATTTTCCTTCTGATCCTCTTGGCTGGAAGCTTGGGGAACTTTTGCCTTCCTCTGTAATGGGGTCCTGATTCTCCCTGTCAGCCTGCATCACCCTGTTTTCTTCAGTTCTGTTTCTGTGGAGCATATTTTAGTTTTGAAAATTTAAGCATTTGGCCTTACTAAAGCCTTTTGGCAGGACATAAAATTTCTGACTACATAATAGTCTGCAATATACCAGAATACAGGAATGTATGTTTACAATGCAATGTTTACTTGCAGCCTTAGTTCCTAGGAAGCTATCCTTAGATTTTCTCAAATTAAACTAAAGGCAGTATGTTAAGCCTCTGCTGGCTTTTAATATTGGAAGGGAATTGCTTCTGCAGTGAAAGTATATCATATTTACAGAGAACAGAGATATTTTGTATGGTTAAACTAGTGTGAAATGATCCAAGGCTCTGTTTTTCTGAACAGGATTGTTATCTTAAGCTCCATTAGTACAAGGATATTTCCCTTCATTAATCTAATACTGGTGGAAGTACTAGCACATATGGGATATTAATTACCACGTCTGACTATGTTCTTGCTAGTAGTACCTGTCTTAGAGTGTTAGAAAGTTGCATCGCGAACCTATCAGAGAAAAGATAGATTGTGCTGCACGTTGTTATGCTACATTCTCTTTGGCCTGTGGAAGGATTTCACTCTGCTACTGTCGGTACTAACCAGGTTAAGAACACTCATTCCTGTACATTTCTTTCATTACTTCTTCTCTAACAGATACTCAACTGTGGTGGTTGGTGAATTTATGGAAACAGGTTTTCTTTCCAGTTCCAATAAGCTTGTAATGAAATATTTTGAGATTTGTATGCTGGGGTGATCAAAGAGTTGTTCACATAATGGTGATCAAGATGGTCGGGGAACACTTAATTTTATTACCCCATGACAAGTGTGTTTCTTCCCCTTTTTAATGTTATAATCACTGGCAGGTTGCTCAAAATTGGTTTGTTCATGATTAAAGGCAGTCACGAACACCAGGCCCAGTGGATCTGTTAGTGATGCCTTGATACTTTGTTGTGTTTTCTATGGAAATGAGTTTTAAACACATCCCTGGTGTGAGCAGTTTAAACATTACAGTGCTGCACTTCAAAGTAAGAAAACCTAAAAGTAAAAGATTGGAAAATAATTATTTTTATTGTCTGAACTGAAAGAAGTGCAGAACATGAATTTGTGGCATTGCTTCCCTTGTAAACCAATGGCTAAACTAACTCTAAATCAATGGCTGGAGCTCAAATAGGGATACTTTTAAATATTAATCTCCCAGAATCTCTTTAAAATAGAATTGTGATAATTAAAATTGTGACTCTGTCCTAGGAGAAGGCAAGGGTAGGTAAGAGTTCTTGATTGTATTTGACAAGTTGTTCTAATTGTCTTCAGTGATAAAGTTTTATTTTACCCCTGAGACATTTCTGGGGAGAGTTAGAATTTCTGTATATTGTGAAATGATAGCCTAAATTGGAATAGTCCTTTGCATGGTTCATAAATCTGATTTATTTCTGTGGCATTTTGTCTATTTAGCTGGTTATCTTTTATTAGGTCATTGAATTAACTGGTGCAATTAACTGTCTCTTACTGAATGATTGCTTGCTAAACAGAGAGTATTTGAAATACAGACTAGGTTTTTCAGTATCTGGTTCAAGGATAGATGTTTTTAAAGAGTCTGACAATGGCATGAAGAGATGGCAGCATGGAGTATCTAATGTCTCTGACTACAAGGTTTTATGTGTCTTTGTCTTAGTCCATCCAGTTGCGCTTAGAGCTTGCAAAAGAATTGGGCACTGGAATATCCATCTGGGAACTGGGACAAGGCCTGGACTATTTTTATGACCTGCTTTAAAATAAGAGATGATCTGGGAAAGACTTTATTTGCTTCACTGAGACTCCACCTTCAATTAATTTGGGTTTCCTGGAGAGGTGATTTTTAAAACATTTTTTGTAATTTATATCATATCTGTATTAAACTTGCATTTTTCCCAATAAAGAACCTTTTCTGGTTTGCCACACAGATGTGATTGTTGGTATCTGATAAAATTCAGGGAAAAGAAACCCCAGAAGTTTCTTTTAAAGCTCCTGAATTCAGCGTCATTGAAAATAGACCAACATAGCTGGGATGGCGTCAGAGTTAAAAATATTTTCTGAAATGTTTTCCACAAGAAATAAAATGGACAAGTTGATGCCATCTGATCAAAGTGTAAGACGGAGACCTCTCAAACAATTGCTGGTAATAACCAAAGTAAGTGAACAAATCAATCCATCAGATTATGTCCAGCAAATTTAATATCTGCTGGACCCTCTGCATCTTGCTGTCTTCTGATAAGGTAAGTCAATGTAAAATATCAGGGGGGAGACCAACTAGATATCTTTCCCTCAAGCTGGTACAAAATCAAGCACTGACAAGCTAAGCTGTTAGCTCTGTTTGTTTTTTCATGTTAGTAAATTCCTTAAGTAGTTCAAAGTCACAGTAATTTAAACTTATGACTTGTTTCTAAATCGGTTTTGTTACAAGAGATGCTCTGTGATTTCTCTCTTCTGCTTAGCCTGCTTAGTGTCTTAGTTTACAGTATTTAGCACTAGTGAATGATGCATTAGTGGTTAGTTTGTGGGAACTGTAATGTTTAGCACCAAAGGCTATAATGGTAATGATGGATTACATGGATAGCCCTAATAGACAGAGCCCCAGAGCAGCTCTGACAACCCCTTGACTTAAGTAAGTGCTGTGAATGTGATCAGCATCTTTGTGCATGAAGCTGTCATTCTTTAGCTGTACACATTGGTGCTTTCGTCTCCATAATACAGAATTTTTATGAACCCAAAAGCTGTAACAACCCATCAGTTTAAAAACAAAGCCAAAAAATTGTGTCCCTGCTATTTGCTTTACAATATTTGTGTTTGTAGAAATACACAGGCTTCAAGGCAGTTTCTTCTAAGGAGCTAAGAGGTGCTGGGTATTTGATGAGGGTGTCATCGGTTACCAGCAGAGACTCAGGCAATAGCTCTGTACTGCCACTGGTGTTGTTCTTGCCACTTACAGTTGTCACAAAGATAACTGCACTCCTCTGTTTGCATCCACCCTTCCCAGAAACTAATTTCAGTGGGAAATCTATCTGCTCCTGCTGTTTCCAGCAGAATAAATCCCACTGTAATCCACCATTGATTAAAGAACTATTGATCTTCAACTCTCTGATTTAGTTCTGGCATCTCTTGACTTCTCACATTGCAAGTATCCAGTAGGGTTTACTAATCAGGCTTCTTTCTTCCATACCATTAGTAGTAAGATAATTTGCTATGTGAATCCTTGTGTTCAATTAACTTGAACTTTCTAGTTCTTTCAAAAGCAATTTGAAGTCTCTCTGGCAATGGTATCTAGAATAGCACAAGAATTAAATTCTATTACACTGTTTTTTCTACTTTTAGTGGCACTACTGAACGAGAATATCTCAGAAAAAAATAGTCTGTAAGAAATGGTAGGGGTTGTGATCTGAAGTGGCATCCATTTATATATTAGCTAGTAGGTAGCTTTCAAAACTGGGTGTGGGGAAGAAAAGAATATTTCATTTTAGCTTGTCGTTTCCTCTCTAGAAAAGATACATGTAATTGATCACGTTTTTCATAATTTTTTTATATTCCATGATGATTCTCTATGAAGTTCAAGACTCCTGTTTGTCTGTGAGTACAGCTATGTTAGAAAGAAGTGTCTTTTCCATCCTTAGAGATAGAATGAATACCTCTGTGTGTCAAAAAGATCAAACTAACTCTTGTTATATCATGAAAAATAAATACCAGATCATAGAATCATAGAATGGTTTGGGTTGGAAGGGACCTTAAAGATCATCTAGTTCCAACCCCCCCCCCAGCCATGGGCCGGGACACCTTCCACTAGACCAGGTTGCTCAAAGCCCCATCCAACCTGGCCTTGAACACTTCCAGGGATGGGACATCCACAACTTCTCTGGGCAACCTGTTCCAGTGTCTCACCACCCTCATAGTTAAGAATTTCTTCCTTGTATCTAATTCTTCCTTATATCTGATGTACTTCAGGTGAGAAGTAAATTGTTATTTTGAGCCATCCATGGTATATAGGTGCTTGAGGCCAAGGATGTTGCCTTTTGTCTCTAAAGGCAAAACGTGTTTGTTGCTTTAGAAATAATATTCCAAAAGAAACAAAGTTGGCATAATTCTTTATTGTGAAGTTCTCCGTTAAAAAAAAAAGTGAGCACTGGAAGGCATGTGAGCTTCAGAATGAATGAAGATCAGCTTCTGATGGATTGGTCTTGTGTTCGCTTAATTTTTCAGTGTGTGCGAATGTCAAGTTATCTTTTATTAGATATCAGAAAATCCACAAAGCAGTGTGCCATCAGCGAGCCACCATGAAAAAAGGTTTCTTTTGAAATTTGCACCTCATCGCATGTATGAAAAGATGACACAGGAGAGAGATGCTGGTATGAAAGCGGGTTCTGCAGAGCATCTGTTTTTATGATTTTCCCTCAGACGTGGGGGGAAAATTGAGCAAAGGGCAGAAGATGGGTGGGAGTGCTGGAGTGGCACCGCTGTAAGGACCATGGCAGGTGACTTTCTTTCCCTCATTTCAAAAAGAAGAGAAAGCACTGTTTCACAATGCAAAGAAGCATTTTTTCTGTAAAGCAAAAAAAAAAGTATGTGTGTTTGTTTTTCCATAGAAGCAAGTACTCCTTAAATGAGGTACTTGCAGGGCAAGGCCAAAGATATTGGACTTAAAGAATCGAGGGTATGATGGGGAGAAATATCCAGTGTTCCTATTAAAACAGCTTACATCTAGTATAGCAGGTGGTGAAATGGAGGTGTGTTTATTTCAACGGAATATTTCATCATTCAGTTTTCTGAGATACATTTAAGAAAAAAAAAGCTGTGCTCTATAATCTAGTTCTGTTGCAAGAAACAATTTCTGTATATTAGGATAAGATCTCAGGTGCTATGAATGTAAAGGTATCTTTTAGCTACCTGATGCCAAGTGGCATTTCTTCCAACTGACCTTTGCTCTTGTGTTTCCCGGTGTTTTACTTTTTTGGGTTAGACTCATGCAGGGTTAAGATAAATACATGTTTCTGCACAATTTTTATTGCATTCACTGAGAAAAAGAAATAGCAGCTGATTCTGTTGCAGCTGGCCTTTGATATGAAGATAGTATTTTTGTCATCAATTATCGTCATGCACATCATTTTAATAGTTAGCAAAGGGGTTCTTTTATATCTGTACACAACTACGTATCTTATCGAGACAGAGAGAAGACTTATCTGACTACTTGCAGGATCACATAGACCATACTCCTGGGATAACAGCATCGCATCTTATCTCAGGAAACGTGTCTCTTGTGGTAAGTGTGTCTGTTTTGAAAACTGGAGCTGCTGTAGAGTCTTTGTAATCAGAAACAGTTTTAACAGAGAATTGTGGAAAATTGTTTAGCTTGTCTCATTGTGAGATGCTACTTTTTCAGGGAAAATTGCTTTGGTACCTTGTTTTATAGTTCCTTTTTGTTATCATATGTAGGTGTCAAACTCCAGAATTAACTGTAGCTTCCAGGTAAGAAAATTGGGAGTGAGAGAGAAGAGGTAAGGTAGACTGAAGGATGACAATAGGAAAACAGCTTCTTTAACCACTTCTTTGTTATAAAGAATTGTTGAGTGAGTTGTAACAATTTAGTGTTTTTTATGGGCTTGGGTGAAAATATAAAATACCTTTTCTATTTCTACTATGAGCTACTAGTGGTAATTATTTTTAAAAGTGAGGGTGGTGTTTTGTGCATACTTCTCTGTGGAGACTGCAAAGTTAATGGATGTTCATAGGAACTGTAATTACAGTCTCTCTTGAATTTGGGACATGTCTTTTGAAGTTTACTTTTTGATTAATACACAGTGCAGCTGTTTGACTTCAGTTAAACAAATGGCAGCACAAAGCAGATGGAGTCTACCTCTGCAGCTTGAAGAGGTTGTATGTAGTTATTTCCTGAAAATCCCATTCCCTCAGTGATCTTTTTTTTTTATGTAGTAAGTGCAAATTAACTAAGCCTGAATTGGTGTTTTGTAGTCTACCAGGCAGTCACTTGATACTTTGTGTTGGGGAAAAATGTATCTTCTCTTTAGAAAAAAAAAATCTTTAATATGAAAAATAACTGGAATAGAATTTGATTAACACTGCTAATTCAAAAAGTTGCAAAAATAAATAACATTACTTATCTTAGCATTTGAAATTAAAAGCTGAAATATGCCTTTAAAAGTATTCTGTTGGAATGAGAACACTAACAAAATGTTATTTTGCAAAAAATGTGGATGAATGGAATCTAGAACTCAAAATTGAAAACAATTAATCGTTTTACATTCCTACTTACATCAGTTACCTTTTCTGGATATATTTTAATGTTTATTTCGTTACAATGTAACTTAAAAAATTATTTTAGAAAAAATACTGTAGAAAAACCTGTACAGTATTTTCATAAAAACAAAACAAATGTTTCTTATAAGCTTTTAATGAAATAAGCTCTTACTCTGACTTCCAACACATTAGAACTAATTCTTCAGTCAACTGCTGAGAGCAAAGCAGAGGGGCACTTTTGAGTTGCCTTTACGTGGCACATAGATTATCATATTTTGTGTGGAGTTTAAATAAGGTAAAATTTAGCAATTGTCTAGTGTGGGAAGGCAAAACATAAAATAAACTAAAAAGCTGCCCCCCTGTGTATGAATTCTCAGCTGGCTGTCCAGGTGGGAGTAGAACTTAATCACAGGGCATTACCTTGCCCACCTGTTTTTTCGAAGAAGGGTAATGAAACTCATGTGAAAATGTTCAGTGTAGATAAGCAGCATATTGACTTTCTTGAGACTTCCTAACTCTCCTAATTTCATTTACTAGAAACCACTAATCACAACAGATATCCACATGGTGGTAGAAGGGCATAGACCCTCCAATTTCTAGATTGCGTGCCATGTGTTTTTTGCATAAGTGACTTGCTGTAAGGCTTGCAGGATTGTT